GGGAGCTCACAGGAATGTCTCGGAGGGCCTGGCTCTCAGCTTTTGGACGCCCCTTTTTCTTCCCTTCTGTCCTGTCGCTGGCTGAACTTCCCGAGTCAAGGCAGAGTGAGCCCTGACTGGGCACCGTCTGCCCACCCCGGACCATCGGCAGCCCTGCAGCACACAACAGACCGAGGCTCAGAGGCTGCACTCCCCACAGCCTCATTAGCCACCCAGGGGGCTAGTCAAGCCTGGACCGGGGCATGGGGGGCAGGAGGCCACGGGCAGCCAAGGATAAGAACCCAGGACCCTGGGCTGCCTCCACCCTGGGAAGCTTCTTAGGAGCCTAGGCGGCCAGCTGGGCACCTAGAAGCTGACATCCAGGGAGGTCCAGACCCAGCCCCGCTGCCCATGACCACCTGGCCTGACTCTTCTTACCTAGCTTTGGAGGGTCGTGGAGCATGGGAAGTCGGACCTCGTTCCGGCTGCCATCCTTCCCAGGTCCAGTCTTGCTGGACCCTGGAAGCCGGCGGCCTCCTCCAACACAAAAGGGATCGGTCATCTCTGCAGAGCAAGTGAACAGACCTATGAGGCCCACGAGGCCCAACTCAGGACTTGAAATGGGCTGTTCTTGAATCCTGCCCCCAGGGAGGTCCACTCTCTGGCCCAAGGAAGGGGAGCCGACCTACCTGTGCTTTTGGCCACAAGGGAAGCAGGTGATGGGGTGGGGGGTACGTCTGGTTTAGGGAAGGGGCTGCGCAGCCAAAGTCTCCCCAGACCCAGATGACCCAGGAGATACCGTCAGCTTGGAAAAATCTAACCCTGTTCTGAGACCCTCACCAGCCCCACGGGGCTCCCTCTGTCTCCAGACACACAATCCCGGAGAGTGCCGAGAATCACGCACCTCCTACCTAGTGCTGGGCTGTGGATGGCCCCAGGAGGGGTGCAGTGCCCTGGAGGAGGGAGGCCAATAATACCCCTCTAGGGGCCAATTGTTACACTGGTGTGGCTGGCTGTTGGCCTACAGGCTGTGCTGGCCCGGTACCTTGGGACACCTTCCCCCACAGCCCCACCCAGACCCAAGGCAATGCCCCTGGACAATGCATCCTTCTCCCCAGAACACAGATGGAAGGCAGGCCCTGAGGGCCCCAGCCCACTCTCCAACTGCACACACACCCCTCCAGGGGGAGCAGACCAAGGACCCCGCAGCACCGGGTTCTAGTCCCTGTGCCAGCTGCACCACCCTACCTGACCCTCTTCTTGGCCATGTTCCCAGCTGGGGGCCCTCCCACCAGAAGGAGGCCTCACACTGGACCCCTCAGCCACCCTCCACCTGGCAGACCTCCCCCTCACTTCCACCCTCAAGAGACTCTCCATCCCCAGTCTACAGGCCCCCCAGCACCACTCCACAGACCACCAGCCACTGGCCACAGGGAACATTCCACTGCCCCAGGCTGGGCCTCTGCGGGCCTGTTCTGCTGGGGTCCCTACACCCTGAGAGCTGGGGGACTCTGAGTTCACTGAAGAAGGTGGTAGTGGGGGGGGGTTCTGTGGGCAGGTGACCCCTCCCCTGGGGGTTTCCAGCTAACATATCAGAGGGGATGGGAAGGAGCTGGTGTGCCTAGGAGGGTCCAGGGGCCATCTGGGCAGAGATCAGGAAAGTTACTGCCCACGGCCATGGAGATGCCTATACCCTGAGCCTGGGGGAGGTCTAGAGGGGTGGAAACAAACTTCTTTGAAGTCCTCACACTGCTGCTTCTGAGGTGACATGCTAGCATCAGTCACCCCAGCCCCATGACGACCCCAGCTGCGGGGGCTGAGGGTGCCTGCTGAGCCCACCTTTCCAGTCTTCCTCCAGCTTAGGTGGAGAATTCAGAGTTCCCGGGCCTGGGGCAGAGGCTGGCCTAGGAGTCAGAGACCCTCCTTCTATCTAGGGCCTGTGACTGGCGCACCAAAAAGAGAAAGGACTTCCACCCTCCCAGAGGGCCCAGCAGGGTCGTAGAGGTGGGACCCTTGCCGAAGGGCTGGGGGGAAGGGGTGCCACGCGCTGACAGCAGGCGACGCTGGCAGCGGGACCGGGGCCAAGGCCGCTCGGCCCCGGGACCCCAGCCCAAGCCTGGGCGCACAGATGAGGCGGGCCAGGGGACGCACACCTGGAGACTGGCCTCACCACCCACCTGTCACCTGTGCCGCGTGCGGGCCCGGCCTGGCCCCGGAAGGGCCGATCGCGGGCGCCTTTGGGGTGGGGGGGCCCAGAGGCAGTGAACCAAAATGGCGACTTTTTTCTGGAGAAGG